TTTAATTTGTGACTGCTGTTTATTTTTCAAGAAAGAAAATAAATAAATTAAATTTGGTTGATTTTATGAAATTTGTTTTATATTTTAGACTGACCTGATTATTTTAAATGGTGAGTAAATTATTTTTCGTCAAATCTGAATTAAACGTGTGGCAAAATCATTAATGTTTTGACGAATTTTTACTATTTGACAAATGTATTATATCAAATGGTGGTTAATGTAAACTGAGTGAAGGAAACTGTAAAAAATAATCATTTCCAAAAAAAAAAATTGTAAACAAACACTATATACCTTTTGTACTTCTTTCTTTTAAGGGGTTGTTATAATTATCTATTTTTAGCGTTTTTCTTTTTTGAAATGCATTTTTGGGAAATTAATTTTTGATTCAAATAGATGTTTAATTTTGAACTGAAAACTAAAAAACAAAATACAAATGAATTAATTCGGTTATTTTTTTCACTTAACACAGGAAGGTAGAGAAGAACCTGGAGTTAAAAAAGAAGTGATCCATATGTATGGGAAACATGCCAACCCATTTATCATTCCAAATGTACCCAAAGAAATCTCAATCAAAGAAGAAACACGTAAATATACCGAATACCTTCCCCATTTTGGTACTCCTCCAACACAAGTGGTTTTTAATACTGTGGGAAGCTTTTGTAAACTGTTTTTCAAAAGTCGGTACTGATGTGTCCCGTTTTTTTGCATTTATTTTGTTTATTATTTTTGGGAATCGTTTTTTGTAATAAAATCACTTATTTTTTCCAAGTAAAAAAGAGAAAAACAGTCTTCAAAATATATTTTTTTACTTGAAGAATTTTTAAGCATTAAAAAATTCCATATAAAATTTGAAATAACGGGATTTTTGTTTCAGAAAAACAAGCGAATTATCCCAAAAGTTCATTTTAGTACAAAAGCAAATAAATTTTAATGTCAATCTTTTTCATTATCAAACATTTCATTAATTAATGAAATATTCACAATACAAAAGCTTAGTTCGAAGATTAGTATGCTTAGTAGTGTTGTCACAAGAACAATATAAATATCAAAATGATTTGATAACTTATCTTTGTTGAGTTTTAAAAAGTCGAGATTCTTTTTGAGCATTTCAGTGAAAACATCTTTTTTAAAATATCCAATAACAAAACAATATTGTTATTTTGTATTATTTTTCTAGTGTTGCCCTTTGACAATTTGACTTATGCCTGTCAAAATTATCAAACATTTGCTGTAATTTATTTTTTTGGTGTTTTTGGAACTCTTTATTTCATTATTTTTTATTCAGAGAAGATAACCATATACAGTAAAACCTCCAAAGAGCGGTACCTCTGAAGAGCGGGTTCTCTCAAGAGCGGGCATTTTTTAGACTAAAACTAAAAATAGAGTTCTCTATCGAGCGGTAATTGAGGTTTGATTGGCTAAAAATGCCCGCTCTTGAGAGAACAAAATTCCCACGCCCTCCCGCTCTTGGGAGGTTTTACTGTATTTGTTTTTAATTGAAAATATTTTTTAACGAAAGTAATTATCAGTTAAAACTCGACACAAACAACACCATCCCAATTTATTAACGTGTTTATCGTTGTATGATTTGACCAACAATGTTGTGTATATGTTGCGAAGTATCGAGTTATGGTCAAATCAAATAATGGGATCGGGTTTTTTTGGAAAAGGCTGGCTAATATTCCAACATTTTCCCGAATTTGTACGAAAATAATTGAACGGGATTGGTATTTTTTTCAAAATTAAGTCGGTACTTTCGATTTTTTGTTTTTTTTGTTTTTTAGGAAAAAACGAAAATAAAAAACGGGACTTTAGGAAGTTCTAAAAATATGACAGTACCGACTTTTGAAAAACAGTTTAGAAAATAATCTGGAAATAAGTAATTTTTAATTTGATCTTTTTGATTTTATAAAATAAAACATAACAATTTAATTACACAAAAGTTACACAAATGTAACTTTCGTTGAAACCACCGGGTTTACTCATTTTCACATACTATTCTCACATTCTGTAATTATATAAATCGTAATAAATACCATTACAATTTATTTCGCTTTTTAAAAAGAAATATGTTAAGAATTAAAGATAAATAAATATGGCACACATCTGATTTGTACTCAATTAATATTACAACAAAAAAAGTTTAATAACATGATAATCATTTTTGATAAACAAAATAAGTAAAATCATACAAATTTAAATGGTTTTATCCGTTTTTAAAACTTAAAATAATAGAATTAATAGATAAAGTAAAATTACAGTAGGAGGAAATAAAGGGATGCTGAGAAAAAAAGAGGATGCTTATCTAAAAATAAATTTATTTTGTTTTTTTTGAAATTTTATTGGTTAGTTAGTATTGAATTTAACCAATAGTAACGAGCATCCTCCTTTCTCTAGCATCCCTCTGTTTTCTCCTACTGTACATATTTGTAATCGGGTTATTATTTTTATCGGTTTGTTACATCTGTTTCCACAAAAATAATAAACAATAAAAAATAGTATATAAAATAAAAAGCATTAAAAGCAGAATTTCACCCTCCCAAGGTGGAGATTTTGGTTCAAGTCCTGGTTAGTGCATTTTGTTTAATTTTTTTATTTTCTATTTAATTATTTAATTATTTAATTATTTAATAATTTAATAATTTAAAAAACAAAAATAATGCAATTCACAACTACAGTTATGATAAAAACCAGTGCAACTTGAACAAAAATGGGGTGACTGAGTAAAAAATTCTAAAAATAAAAGAATAACATTATTTTGAAAATGTTTGAAAAACAATTTAGAAAAAACATTCAAAAATTTTATTTGTTATGTTATTTTTATATTTTTTATTTATTATAAAAGAAAAATAAAAACCTAAAGTAGAATAACAACACAATTCATTTACAATAAGCAAACAATATCGAGATAAGTCTTTTCACAAAAAAACTCTTCATTTCTTTTCTCTCTTGTTTTATTCGTTACAGTTACATCTTCCATTTTCTCTCTTTCTTCTCCTCAACCACTTTTTCATAATAAATTGTTCCTCAAGTTTAATTTCCATGCCTTTATCATTAACATCATCTTCTTCGACTTCTTGAATCATATACTCGCAGAACAATCTTGGTTGATTTATACACAAACCAAAGACTCCGACGTCAAATCCATTGTGACACAACACAACATTTACCGTCTTGTTCATATTTCAATTTTTTAGTTTGAACTCATTATATTTTAGTAGAAATTCTGCCAAAACATTAAAATAAAGGGAAAGTGGAAAGAAAACGGGTTTGTTTACAAAAAGAAGATTTTAGGGCAATCGATCGTCTTCTTTGTTCATTTATTGAACCTTTTGTTTTGAAAATAAATCAACTTGATTTTTGTGTTGTTTTTAAAAGCTAACTTTTATGGTATTTTTACTAAAAAAACTATTGAGATTGTTCATGTTATAAATAAAATTTGCAAAGAAAAAAAAAACAAAAAAAATAACCGAGTTGCACTATCAAAATAAAAAATAGTTTTATTTTTAGGATCCCCTCTTTTTTTACTCAGTCACCCCATTTTTGCAAAAGTCGCACGGGTTTTGTCTAAAACTGTACAGTCAAAAACGTCTATTTGTCGTAAATCCAGCAGAAAAAAGTATCTATTTGTCGTAAATGAGTGAATTTTGTAGAAAATTTTATTTAATATTGAAATTTATTTTTTGTAAAAAATTTAGTTTTGAATTCAACAAAAGTTACATGTTCAAGAACAAAATAAAGTCTGTTTTCTATTTAACGATATTGGGTTTTTACTATTATTTATAATAACAGTATTATAATTTATAATAAAAATAAAGTGGTTTTTCAAAAAAATGGTTTGTATTTTATTTTTTTGTTCTTTTTTTAAAAAGTGTGCTAAAAATAACAAAAAACAAAATTGCTTGATAAATGAAAAAATTATAAAGTCAAAACGAAGAATAGGTTGGTCTTGAAATGTGAATACGACGAAATAAACTATGTCAACTAAATTATTCAAAATGAATAAAATGTCATTTCAGATGGAGCAGACATGTCAAATCATCATTTGGGTCAAATTGAAGACGACAACAAGTGAATTGGAAAAAAGTCAATGCTTGGATTTGTTTAACATTAGTTTTAATTAATGACAATTTTATTAATAGTTTATGGTTTTTAATTAGCGATATTGAGTATAGTAAATAATGGTTTAATATTTTCGGTCTAGTTCTCTTCTTTGTTATATTTTTAGAATATCGCTAAATAGAAAACAGACTTTATTAAATTGTCGTACACCAAAATGATTGGCCAGTTGTGCGACAATTAAGCAAGTTCAACGATTATAATTAAGACTAATCTACGCCTTTGACTGTATTAATTTTGATTAAAATAACGTTTTTTATTCCAAGTTTATTTTTTCTTTTTGGTTTGATTTAAAAGTTTTAATACAATTTATCTTAATTATAAAATTAATAAAAATTAATAAAAATATCTTTATTTTATTTAAGTTTTAAAAATAAATTATTAAAAACGGATTTTATTGTAAATTTTCATTGAATGGGAGTTGCACCCCATTCAATAACATACTTTCCTTGTGGTCTTTTAACACTTTCGACTTCTTGTACACTTAAATATTCGTTTCCTTCTTGGCACTCACCAAACCCAACAAATATTCTCATCACGTTGTCGAAACCTTTCACGTTCAGTGGAACCAACTTTTCGTATTGTTTTCTGTCAACTATTCTGACAAACATCTTTTGGAACTTTTTCATCTCCTTCATCCAATACACAACAAAGTCGTTTCTTTCTTTTACGTTCAGTCCAAGCTTTTCCATCAATTTGTCGACATCACTCAGATCATTTACTTTGACATCAAAACCTTCTAATTTGACATCAAAGAGACTTTCCCAGAAAAGGTATTCAAAATCATTGTCTTTAATTGTTAAAACACAGGGTTCTGTCCCTCTTCCCAAATATCTTCCCGTCCAATTCAGTGTGTTTTCTGTTATTTCTGTCTTTGGATAGACTTCGGTGACTTCCATTCCTTCAAATTTGAGTGAGACGTCCAACTCGCCTTTTGTGCCATTTTCGTCGTACAGCAAAATGACTGGTTTTCCTCCAAAATATCTTCCTGCAAAGCCACTTCGTTTGGCAGTGATCGTCTTTTGAATTATTCGACTGATGCTTTCTTTGTCTATGTCACCGATTGCAAAGTGGAGACACCTTCCATGGAACATCTCTTCGATTTTTGGATTGTAATGGGTGTTGGATTTGTTGGTGTTATAAAAGACTATTGCAACCAAATTCTGCACCAAAAAATGCAAAAATTCAAATTCTCCAAAGTAATAATCGTCTGTTTCTTCAATTGCGGGTATGAAACTACGGATGTAGTTTGTGAGATGGTAAATGTCGTCTCTGCCAAGTTCATTTGTGATACTATCAATAAGCACAACGTAGATGTTATAATCAGATTTCATATATTCATTTGGTGGATAATACTCTTGAGGTGGTGGTAGGTCTTCCTTACTCCCTGCCACTATGATATCCTCTTGAATGCCATTAACAATAATATCAGTGGTATAAACGGACTCTGTGGCTGTTTCTTTGAGTGCCTTTTTGTTTGGTACTGTCTTGAGTGCTTGAAGTCCTGCTGACCCCTGGAAAATAATTTTCATTTGTTGTGTTGCAAGACGCTCTTTGATTGACATACTTCTGATTGGTTTGGTGCTTACAGGTTTACCTTTTGATGGTGTTTCTCCCATAGAATTGAATTATATAATTAAACAGACTATTATATAAACAATCTTTCCCGTTTAGATGTTTAAAAACATTAAAGTGTTTTCCCGTTTTGTTTATCAATTTCTTTGTTCTATATTTTATTATTTGATGTTTTCTGTATTTTTCTAAATTAATAACAGCGAAACTTTTGAGAGCAGTAACTTTAAAGAGAAAGCTCTTTTAGAATAAAACCAAAAATCGAGTTCTAAAGAACATTTTTAATGTTTGATTGGAAGAAAATTCTTTTTCTTAAGAGACCAAATCTAATACTTTTTCAATTTTAAGAGGTTTAACTATAATGATGAAAATCTGTATTTATATATGTAGTAATGATATTAACATTAACATTATAATTAAACATAAAAAAGTGACAGTTTACATATATTAAAAAGAGCAGACAACAAGACATATAACTATTAAAAACTCAGCCAAGACACTATACGAACTGTATTGTTTATTGATTCCGATAGTTTCATAAGGTATTTCCTCCCAACAATTATATTTGTAAATTACCCCCTTTTTTTCATTCTAAAATCGTTGTTGTCAACATCATAAAACATAGGATCTTGACTCGAGTTAGTGTTCATCTCCCACCTTTTCATATATTTATTACACTGATCAGTAAATGCATGATCCCATGTGTTATTATATAATACATTACAATATATTTCTGTGTTCTCCATATACAGCCAATCTAAATTTTCTTCTTTCATCAATTCATCTAGTGTTTTTGGTAACAGCGCCCATTCAGTAAATTAATCTTTATATGGAGAAGCGTATCTATACACTCTATTGTACACTACAGTGTCAAGTAAATTATAAAACACATTTGGAATTGTGTCATACCTTCTTGGTACTCTAGAATCTCCCGAATACCCCGTCTTACAATGATAGATTATGTAATTATAAATAAGGTTGGACCTCCCAGAGCCCTGCACAAGACCATACCCGACAAAATTAGAAACGACGTTTTGGTAGACTCTTTGCTTCGATATTTGTCATATAAGTAAAATCCAATAACATAAGACCATCCACCCAAATGCCCAAATCCCGTTGAGTCGTGGAAATAGTTGCGTTTGATGACATTACCAGAATATTTCCAATGTGTACCAGAATATAATGCACCACAATCAGAAGCTCTTGCACATATGTTTTTTATTTAAATGGTCGAAATATATTAAATAAACATACAGTTAGTTTCACAACAATTCCTTATTTTTCATAACAAACAGATTTCTGTTTCATAACAATTAGATTTGTACCTTTGTTCAGCCCTGTTTCAAAATAATTATTTTTTTGTTTCACAATTTACGTGATTGTTGCATAATTGGCATTATTATTGTATATCATTATCTGGTGATCCAGAACTATTTATTTATCCTCAATTCAATAATTTATTGTTCCAAAACAAAAAGTTGTTTCATAATTATTGTTTTTTGTTTTAAAGTAATATAAAATTGTTGTAAAAGCGCATTGTATTGTTTCACAACAAAACGTTGTAAATTGACAAAAAAATTATAAACTATAAACTAAAATACAATAATGGCAATCGCTTCTTTTGAGTTCATCCACTGAGATGAAATCGAAGAATTCCTTAATCACGAAGAGGTTTCTCCAGTTGTAGAAGCACCACAACAAGTAGAAATAACAGAAAGAAGAACAGCCGATGACATTGTTGCCTCATTGGTTCTACTACCACCTCAGCCATTTGGAAGACAAGAGTGGGGAATTTGCAATATGTTGATATTAGTTATTTGATTCAAAACATTACAGAATGCTTCGAATATATAACACCAACAGAAATACTCAGAATGATCACTCACTTTATTTTGGTAGTGATTTGTAAAGTTTTTTGTGAATACTTATATTTTTTTAAGTTATCTCATGTTTAACATCTTTTATTGTCGAATATATTATAAATTTATACCAATATCAATTGTTTATTAAAAAGTTTTGCTTTTATTATGTTTATTTTTTGTCAATTTACAACGTTTTGTTGTGAAACAATACAATGCGCTTTTACAACAATTTTATATTACTTTAAAACAAAAAACAATAATTATGAAACAACTTTTTGTTTTGGAACAATAAATTATTGAATTGAGGATAAATAAATAGTTCTGGATCACCAGATAATGATATACAATAATAATGCCAATTATGCAACAATCACGTAAATTGTGAAACAAAAAAATAATTATTTTGAAACAGGGCTGAACAAAGGTACAAATCTAATTGTTATGAAACAGAAATCTGTTTGTTATGAAAAATAAGGAATTGTTGTGAAACTAACTGTACATGTTGAAATATGTTTTAAACAACCAGTTTTTAAATTTACAAATTCTAGCACAAACTTTAACATACAATAAAAAACAGTTACGATACATTCAAAGGTGTTTATTTGTTGTAACTATAATCATCGAAGAAGATTATTTATTGTTGAACAATTGGCCAATCATTTAGACATGTAAATTGTTTTATATTTTGTTATTAAATCTGTAACTATTATTGAATTAAAACTCTAATAATATATACATATATATTATATATTTAATATATATGCCGAAACAACTTTCTGTACATTGTTTTTCAAAAACGACCATAATCAATAATATTTTAAACCATTTTTGATGATATTTTTTAACTACAAATTATTTTTATTTTTTTATTTAGAAACTAGAAATTTTATTTTCTGCAGCCTAAAATTAATTTCTATAAAAATTGTTTTTTAAAATCAATTTGCAGAAGGCTGTTTTGTTTCAGAAGGTTGATTCGGCAGACTTTAATAAAAATATATTTCATTATTAACTTTCTACAAAACATATTTATTATTGACAAATAAAAGTATATATTTCCTGGATATCCAACAAATAGACGCTTTTGGCTGTAATTGTTAATACATTTACTGCTTTATTTGTATTCTATAATACAAATGGAGTAAAATAAATATTACTATGTTTAACATTATTTGAATAACACTTTTCTATTTTTAATAATGAATGATATTTTCAAACACAAAATAAAACGATTTTTGTCCAATTAACAATAATAAAAATTCCACTTTTTTAATTTAATTTAAAAAAAAAAATAACATTTCAAGAAAAAAAACTTACGCATTTTCAGCTTATCATTTTTTAAAAATTAAACTACCCAACCTCTTTTCCGCAATTTTACCTAATTATTTGAATTTTTGTTTGTAACAACTTGAAATGCCGATTCGTTGTTTTTTATGACAAAAATTGATTAAAAAAACTCAACCCTTCTGTTTTTTTATTATTTTTTTTTATTTTTTGTTTACCAATTTTAATTAACTTAAAAACTAAAACCAAACCATATAAACTAACAATAAAATTCCAATTCCAAATTTCCCACCAGAAAACGCATTTTTGAAGAGGCAGGTCCGTCTTTAAATAGTACTTTAACACAAGAAAAAGCTTCAAACCAAGAACTTGAAAACTTGAAAAAGATGAGTGACATCAAACCAATGAACCCGGTCTTAAGTTCATCACCAAGTGGTGATCAAGACCTTCCCAAGACAGTTGGGTTACTAGATTTCCGCAAAGTGAAGATGATAGGGCGTGGCAATGTTGGCCATGTTTATTTAGTTCAACTCAACAACACATCTCATTATTTTGCGATGAAAGTTCGCTCAAAGGCAGCAATGACTCAACAAAATAAAACGGACCGAGTGACCACAGAACGTGAGATCTTAAAAACAACTCACCACCCATTTTTAACGCATTTGTATTGGTCCTTCTCCACTGAAAAATGTTTTTACTTTGTTATGGACTATTGTGCTGGGGGGAACTTTTATCGAGCACTTCGCAAGACACCGCACAAGTTTCTTCCTGAAGAACCTGCTCGGTTTTACTTAGCTGAGATATTATTAGCTTTAGAATACCTTCACTTAAATGGAATTATATATAGAGACTTAAAACCAGAAAACGTTCTATTAAATAGTTCCGGGCACATCATGTTGTCCGACTTCGACTTAAGTAAAACAGAACCGACTAAAGAGAACGTAGTTGACGTTATTAAAGCTGCACATGAGAAATTTAAGAAAGAGCCAGACTTCATCACTAACTCCTTTGTGGGGACTGCAGAGTACTTAGCTCCAGAAGTCTTGGTCGGCTTCGGGTACTCCGCTCAAGTCGACTGGTGGACTTTTGGGATCTTAATGTATGAGATTTTGTATGGAAGAACTCCGTTTTTTAATAGAAATAGAGATACCGTGTTTTCTAATATCTTAGATGGGGAACTAATGTTCCCGAAAACTTGGACATATCCCATCTCTACTAATGCTAAAGATCTCATGAGAGAACTTCTCCAAAACGATCCAGAAAAGAGAATAGGCGCTAAAGACGGGGCGGAGGAAATTAAAGCTCATAACTTTTTTAAAGGAGTCAAATTCCAATTAATTAGAAATATAACACCACCTATTATCCCTAAAATTTCGGGACCAGAAGACACAAAATATTTCGACGAAAATCAGACCGACGACGGGTATCTAGAAAAAGAACTAGAAGCATTACAAAAACTCAAAGAAGAGGAAAGTGATGAAAAAGATCGTGAGCGAAAAAGCGAAAATCTCACACTCGCCCAGATTTTGGAAAAAGACAAGTTGGACGAAAAATTGGAAAAAACTGGCGACGCCATTCAAAAACAAAACGAAACAAATTCGGAGAAAAAATTGCAACAACCAGCACAAGTGCAAATCATATTGGGGGAAAATCTTGAAAAATAATTGTGTGTGATTTTTTTTTTGTAAGTTGGTTTAATAATATTTTTATTAATATATAACTATTCTTTGAATTTTACTATTTATTCTAATTAAATTACTAATATAATTAATAATTATCAGTTTAATTAAATTAATAATTATATTAGTTAATTGTTTTTGATTATAAATAATAGTTTCATTGGTAATAATTATATTATAAATTATTGTGTATTATCATGTTTTTTTGTATTAATTAATTTTGTTAAAATAAATAAGAATTAACACTAAAAATATAATTAAAATTTTTTTAATTATCTCAAAAATATTTACAACAAAAGAATTATTTAACTTGTTTTTTGATAAAAAATATTATTTTTTTTTACATATTTAAAATTTTTAATTATAAAAACATCAATTTAACTATTAATCAACTATATACGTTAATTAAAAATACTTGTTAAAAAAATTATATTTTAATCAAATCTGTTTGAGTTTAATTTACAACACTCCCAACATATTTCGAAAAATATTACAATATGGTCACTTTGCCTTATGCAAGACTTTTATTTATAAATACAGATGGGAAAATGAAACTTAGCCCAGGAAATGTACTTTAGACAAAGATATTCCTATATTTTTCTTTAAAAACACAGGTTTTTACTAAAAAAACAAATATTTTAGAAACTTGACTTTTATATCGGTATAGTTTATTATTTTAATATAACAAACTGTATTAGTTAATAAAAACTATTTTAATGTATAAAAACTGGATTAAATTTTGGTGTTTTTGGTTTGTCATTATCAAACTATATAATAATTCATTTTAATCATAATTCAACTATAATAGTCTTGAATAAGGCAAAGTGACCATACTGTAGTTGTCAATTCAATCTCATTTGTCTCATTTCACTCATTTTGAAATAATTTTGTATTTAAAGAAAAGATAAAAACGTATCCCAGTGAATAAAAATCAACACTTTTTTTGTATCAAACAATAAAAATCACATTTTATTTTAATAAATAAAACACAATGTAATAGTTTATTACTATATTAAAACTAATAAAATAGTAAACCTCAATTCAATTCTTATTGAGTCTAAGTTCTTGTCTAATTATAGTTAAAATACTATTCCACACAACCAAACACTATTTCTTGCCTTGCTTCTCCAATTTTTGCCCCAGCGCTCTAACAAAGTCTCTCTGTTTCTTCATTTTCATTTCGTTGTATGTCTTATATGTGTCTACAATTGGGTTCAACTGTTTTCGTGAGAAGACTTTGAATGGTTTCATCTCCGTCACTCTCTTCTTTGGCTTAGTCACTTCTCGTTTCAAATTTTCGTCGGTGTTTCGAGCCTCTCTGACATCACAAATTGCTTCTTCATTATGTTCTACATCAATTGGACTATAGTGAGACATCTCTAAGTTAGTACTTAAATATTTATTTAGTGTGTATTTATATAGTTCCCTGTTACTATACTTGTATAACAATTTAACTATTAAAATTTAAAAGAATCTCGCGTATTAATTAATAATAAGAAATTAACGATATGAATAATCAACGAGGTTCTTTCTATTGTTTAAAGTATTGGTTTTAATTATAGTTTTAGTTACTATATATTACCTATTTTTGGAGTTTTCAAAAACAGAAATTGTTCAAATTCTTCATATCAATCATTAAACAAATCAAAACTACAGGACGGTCACTTGGCCTTATGGTAATTTTTTTATAAATAATTATTAATTTATTTGAAACTATTTTGATATTTCAAAATTGAAAAAAATTCGTTTTTTATAAATTATATTATAAACTATTTAATAAATTATTATAATTAAAATATACTTATCAAAATCTTACCTAAGGCAATGTATTACATAAAGCAGAGTGACGATGCTAATTATTTTGATTCCAACCTCAAAACCGAAATAATAGTAACTCAAACCATAATAAACCATATGTTTATTATCAGCACAAGAAACAAATAAAAACTATAAATTTATAATAACATAAACTATACTGAAACCATACAATTAGTAACGCATTCTATATTAATCAGTACTGTCCCTGTGACTGTACACCTTGAGATTGTGTTTGTGATTGGACGTTTTGACTCTCAGGTATGAATTGTTGAATATCTGAGACGTCAGGAGGTAAATCCAATAGAAGTGACAAAAAAGGTAATCGAGCGGGTCGAGCGAGGTAGTCAGTCAGGCCTAATAAGTTTTTGATATTAGTGGAGAACGCGAGGACTTGCTGTTTGTCCAACGTGAACGACTGTTGACTTTGAAAGAAAATCTCGATGTTCTGAAGGATCGTCTCATTATTAGTTAAAAGTCTATTAATTTGCTCCTCCATGTCACCCTGTGACGGGACGGGCTGGGTGGTCACTTTTTCTAATTCTTTCTCTTTCGTTTTGCGTTTGCGACTCGGTGCGGCTTTTTTGGGCTTTTCTTCTTTCTCGATTTTCAAGGGCTTCGGCATCTTTTTGTCATCTTCAATCTTGACAGGTTGAGGAATTACTTTTTTGGAAATGAGAGGTTGTGATTGTGGTGGCGGAACGGGTTTCGTCGGAAGTAATGAGGAAAAGCGCATTGGTGGAACGATGGGATTGATAGGGGCGGAAAAATTTTGTGTAACAACAGTCTGATTCGGAGGAATTTGGGCCTGCGAAACCTGGGCATTAGGCTTGGGCTCGTATGCCGTTTGTGGTTTGTAGACTTGAACGTAAGGTTTCTGAGTTGAAGGAAGCTGGAAGGGTTGGAATTGACAAGTCACACAGAACTCTTCCCATGGCTTCTGCTTTCCAGAGTTGACCCATTTAATCCGGGTCATGATCTGTTGCGCGCTCTTTAATGGTAAAGATGACTGCAATTTATATACCATCTGTGGATTTTCCAAAAAGCTTATAGTTATTTTGAACTTTTTATAATAGAAATAAAGAATATAAAAGATATGGTATTGGCATTCAAATGAGAAATGATTGTGCAATACACCCTTTGAAAATCATTACAAAACAAAGACAACAAACGGGGAATTCTCTAAAATATTGTTCTCTGCATCTGACCAAACTGGAATTTCTCCGACAGTACGCTCTGTTTTGATTTGTTGCTGCTGCGGTTGTTGTGGGTGTTGTTCTTGTGGAAGATTATATGTTGGAGTTAACTTCACATTGGCAAAGCTCATTATGATTTCTCTTTTTAGATCTTAAAAGGCAATTTTGTTATACTTTTGTGTTTTTTATCTTTCTAAAGATCAAGTATTTTTATTTTTTTGTCATCTTTTTTGGGGTTGTTTTTAATTAATTTTAATATTATTTGAAATGGTTTCAAATTATTAAATATATATATTAAAATAATAATAAATAATTAGTTAATAATTTTAATTGAATTTCGTAGAATTATTAGTTATTTTTCAAAAGAATCAACAATCATAATAATTATAATATAAATAATATAATTATAAAATATTTATTAAAAAAACTAAAAACATTTAATTTAATTAAAAAAAAAATTTAAATAAACTAAATGAATATAAAAATCGCAAAAGTTCAAAACGATACAAAATTTGTGTTTTTTGTTTTTTTTCCTTTAGTAATTTCTCGAGTATGAACCAAAAGGACAATTAGTTATGCCAGAGATGAGCGCGTCAAGACACTCACTCGAAAGTGCAGACATACCAAACTGCATGTATTTCTGCTGGCAACCATAATAATAATAAGCAAAGGACGATGTTCACCCACAAGTGAACTTCATTGCACCCACCAAGAAGTCCAATTGCAAGTGGGGGATGAAGATAGCAAGAATGACCCACAAACCTATATGTCATTCACATCAGAAACAAAATGAAAGAACACACAACATACAACACTTGCTTCCATTAACTGACTGAATTTCTGACGATTTTCACTGCTTAAGTGGTTTCTCGTTCAACACTTTTCAATCTCGTTCTCTCAATCTCATCTCTCATTTTTTTATTCTTAAATATGTTCTAACAAGACAACTTAAATTCACCCAATCAAATATTATAATTTTTTATTATAATATTTTTTTATTATAATATAGTTACTATTAATTTATAATTAAAACTAAATTATTTATTGTTTCTTTTAATAAAAAAGAACTAACAAAAAACAATTAAAACATTTCAGCAACAAACAAAAAAAAAGAGAAAAACAAAACAAAAAGAGAAAAATGTTTTTGACTTTTATTCTTAATTCTTCGTCAAACTAAATAATATAGTAAAATAAGTTAAAATTTCTAATAAATATGAATTCTTGGATGCGAGATGAAAAGACAAAAAGGACAACCCTTCATTTTTGACTATTTGAGAGGTGCGAAACTGGACTTGCCATTTGAAGTGATGAGCGGTGGTGTGAGCGAGTTTGTTGGTATACGGATATAAAGTTTTTGGAGGGGATAGTATTGCTATAATCTCGTTCTTTCATTTTTACGTCAAATCTATTTATAAATCAATTGACCGTTTTAGCAAAAAAATTAACAAGACAACAAAGGCGGAACCAAAGAAAAAACTCCCAAAAAACCCATATCTCAGGTTCTCCCAAGAAAAACGCGCTGAAGTCAAAGAAGCTAACCCAAGCTTGGCCCCAAAGGACATCACAAAAAAGATCGCAGACTTGTGGAAGGCTCTCTCCGCCGAGGAGAAAGACGCTTATAAGCCAAAGAAACGGACCTTCCCAGGACGAAAGGGTGCAAAGAAGGACGAAGAGAAAAAGGAGACCACGACTGAAAAGAAAGAGGAAGATGAGAAGAAAGAGTAATTGATGTTATTTGCATTATCGCGCCTTATCTATACTTTCATTCCACCAAAACGCAATCTTATCTCTCATTGTTTTATCTTTTTTATTGTCAATTGCAATAGTTAGTTTATTAATATATTTACTATACCTTTTTTTTTGGTTTATTTTTTTTTATTATTTAATAAAGTTTATGGGACCTACATTGACCACCACCTCTTAAAATAGATTTATTTTTTCTATTTCGAATCATATTCAAATTAAAATTATAGTAAATAGGAAACTGGGATAATATTAGGTCTGGTTCCCGAATTCAAAAAATGCCGAAAATTCACCTCGAGTCAGTGGAAACCGAGTGAGACGGAGCATTGAAAAGAAGGCTCTGAAGACACACTCAAACAGTCTGTTTGTGCACCGTTTCACCCACTTTCCAAGTCCTCCCTTGACGCGGATCCCCCCTGACCCCCCCCCCCCGCAAGCGGGGGGGAACCACATCCGCGTCCACACAGTACGGACAAGGAAAGTGGGTGACATGGGGATGCACAAACACTGACTGAAAAGTGGACTCCCTTCAAAAAACACTCGCGGCAAATATTATTTTTTGGTAAAGGTGGTGGTGGTCAATGTAGGTCCCAAAGTTTATACTATTTATTGTTTTTAGTTAATTTTTTATTCAATTAATTTATTTTATATTAAAATAGTAAAAAGTAATTGAAGTTTTCAACTACAATATAAAAACACTGTTTTAATATAACTTAAGTATATTAGAATAGTTGAACTACATAAAAAGAAACTATAATTAATAGTATATACAAACCAGTAACAACAATTATAAATAAATTATAAATAAACTACAAATAAATTAATAATAAATTAATAATAAATTAATAATAAATTAATAATAATAAAAATACTTTATGAATACAGTAGAAGGAGTGAGGGGCTTGACCTATCATTTTATTATCTTTTTTTACTATACAGAGTTTTCCCGCTTCTATTTATAAAATAACAAAAACTATAAATAATTTATAAAAAATGTCAAAGAAAAAGATTCTTAGCTTATCCAAATGAAGTTAAACGTTTTTTAAAAGAAAAAGTAAACAACCTTAGTGTTATGAAGAAAATTGAATGGCTTATTTCTATTGTTTGAAATAACCAAGAATTAATTCACAAAGCTTCAATTATTTTGTTTCTATAACAGCACAAATACAACTTCTTTGTACATAGACAGGATTTCCTTTAGCCATAATAGACAAGTTGTTCCTCACACAAGCCAACTCGTCTCACCATTTGGCTTGTGTATTCGGAGTTGTTAAAATACTAGCTTACTGAATACTTTGACAATTGAAATCAATTGACGCCAATTTCGCAGTAACCGAAGACTTGAATTGATTTTTTGGATGAGAGAACACAGTGATAGTGATGGCAGATCATGACAAGTTCTAAGAGAACAAGGAGAGCTGAGAGAGCATATTTGTGTTTCCATTGCTTGTCATACCAAAAAGGTGTTGGGAGCAATAGAGAGCAAAGCAATAAAAACATCATTATTGCATCATATAAGCGTTCTGGTGTTGTTGGAGTCAATATTGGCAAGATTAAAAGAATGTTCTTTTCTATAAAGAGGCTTCCAGATTGTTACTAGAAGCCAATGGTGTTTATACCAGAGAACACTTGGAATTGTTTGTTCTTCCGCCTAGACCAACATATTTGGTCAAATCCGAAAAGGAAAGTTTGCCTTGGAATATTTAAGAGTTGCCAACAACGAGAGCCATATCAAACATAAAGACTAACGCCTACCGATGACTTTATTGAGAACTAACAACTAACAAACACCCAAGTCGTTTTTAATACAATTTCAAATTCCGACTTTATGCTAAGGATGAACCAATACTTTTATGGTTTATAAACTATAATTTATAAGTCAAGGTTGTGTTTTAAATAGAACATTTAAAATAGTTTTTATTTAAATATAGTAAATAAACCATTAAAAGTATAGGTCAAGCCCCTCACTCCCCCTACTGTAATTTATAAATTATTTATAGATTAAAGAATAGATAAACAAATATACTATAAATAAACCATAATATTGGAACTATGAGTACCTTATAAAAAACGAGTAAATATGACAAGTTTACTAACTAAGCTTCTCGAATTATCCCACAAAGAACACATCCGTGTAGTCTACGACACGTCATATGATGCATACGACCGAAAAGTGATCAACTCGAAACTGAGTGGGCAGACGTCGCTACTGATATGTGTTATATCCGAAGAGAAGGTGTTTGGGTATTACACGGAAAGTCAAGTTCCGCGGGACGACGACACGTGGAAAGCGGTAGGAGTAGCCAATGCTTTTGCGTTCATATATGACGAGAGTGGATTTCGACTTGAGCGGAGTCGATCTTGTGAAAGTTGTTTATATATTAACGTAGATAACGACGATGACGAGATTCTCTTAAGTGTTAGACACTTCTTTTTTTTGAGAAGGGAAAAAAGTTACCTTTCGGGAAAGTTCAATCAATTCTTCGGGTTTTTAAACAAAGAAGTCTGTTACCCATATTACATCCATATCCAAAACGTCATAATTTACAAATTGTATTATCTTTTTCTCTCATTTTGTAAGATTATTGGACAAATATTAGACTTATTATTTTTTTAATTATAATATATGGTTATTAATTGTTCTATTTGTCATGACATTTATAAATTTAAAATATATTATTATATTCAAATTGGTTTATAATATTATTAAAATATTATTGTTAAACTATACTACAGTTACTAGTAATAATAGTATTATAAATTATATAAAATTAAGTTATTATTTATTTTTAATAATAATAATTAATATTGCAGATTAATAATAATAAT